TAGGTTTTAGATCAAATTATCCTGCAGCGTTATTTGAATTGCTTCTACATCAAAGATGTCTTGAACTCGATCAACTGGTGCCGAAAAAAGATAATTAACAAAAATGGAAATCTTTCCATGATTCATTAGAGATCTGTTCCCTCCAAATTCTTTGTATGTGTCATCACATCACAAATCAAAACATCAATCTTCCTCCAAAAGTGTTACAGATGCTTCTCTACCAAACTGACTCTTAATGCACATTACCTTTATCCTCCTTGCAGCAAGGGCAAAGCCAGTTGACAATCAACCAGCTACCTTCCTTGTAACACACAAGGATGATTTCATGGCCCATATCCCAGAAGCTCGACAGACCATCAATACTAGATGTAACTTTCACTGCCACTGGCGAGGTTAACATTCAAAGATGTATTAACAGGCAGATCTTATCCAAGCCGAATAAGGCCACAATCTAGAAATAATAATCAGTTGATAGGTATGAAACTATGACCGGAAAGGCTTCACAAATCTTCATTCTCTGATTCTGCCCTATCTGTTTCTTCAGCTTCTTCCAAGTCATCCACCTCGTCAATTGGTATTTCCTCATTGTTATAATTCACTGAACCTACACCTGTATTTACATTAATTTGAGGATGCACAAAAAACTTATCAGTCCCCACAACCTAATTGCAAATCCTACAACATCATCAAACACAAACATGTAAATTGATATATATTAAGAAATTGATCCATAGAAAAGAGGAGAAACTGCAAAAAATTTTAAGTTCACATCCCAAATAAAACTCAACGGGCTAACTGGCAGCTCGAAAGCATTTAAATACACAAGGCTGGGAATTGGGCCAAAATTTAAATAATGTGTTAGTTTAAAAAAGGAGAACAAACAATGTCAATTGCAAAAGTCAGTCATGTTGCTAAAGGATTGGTATGACTCACGCTTGAATAGTCATCTGCGTGTTGATAAAGAGAAACAACCAATCAAGCCTATACCCCAAAGGAACACTGTCTCACAGTCCCAGAGTTGGGATCGGGTCAATGGGCCTGACACCATGAAGTCTTGGAGCAGGCTAGCTGCCTGCTTCCTTGATTTATGAACCTGTCAGCCCATGGAACCTCCCGTCTTCTTATAGATATCTCTAAGTCGATTGACACAACCTACAAGATTTATGGATGAGTAAAGTAAAGTTATTAGAATTAGATCCCTACTTAGGCTACCAGGATACACAATCCAACTTCAAAATTAGAAATAAAATTTAAATACAAGCAAATGTAGAGTCATAAACTAATGCCTTAAATGGTCTTAAAAGAACCCTAAATTCCCACTGATTCCAAGGGAGACCCAGAAGAGTCGACTGGGAAGTCTCTTCCCTCTTCTGCCGGGGTTTCCTTGGAAATGGACTTTATCAGAAAATTTATTTTGATGATGTGTCATAATACATGGCAGTTCTCCCACTGACTGCTAATCATCCTAGTAAACATTCCCGCTCCAATGATTTGGTCGTAAGACATGGCAATTCCCCTAGTGACTACTTATCATTGCATTAGATGTTCCATCTAAAGATAACATCAAGTACTCACGTTCCATTTTTGGTATATCTATATGCGCTGCAAATTTTAAATTATGACAGAAGTTCTGCAGAAATATGTACATCCTATATCAGATTTGAACCAATAACTTCCCACTATTTTTTCGGGTGTTTAAGACAGATTAAACCAATTACTTCCTCTTATTTCCTAGGGTGTCCAAAGTGCATGAGCCCACCAGTTAGCTAAAGAGCATTCCCCAGTTTGAGTTCAAGCTGCTCTAGATGGGTTGCAAAAATTAGCTACTGGCTGCTCAGATTGGAAGAGTCGATAAGGAAAGAATAATTTGTTGAGGCTTCAAAATATGGTTGAAGCTCAATCTGTGGAGCAAATATCCACGAACTTTCCCCAAAAGCACATTCAAGCATCATTTGAAAACGGTTTTCAATGAAATATTCACCAACACTTTTCCAATGTAGGCACGACTGAACTCTAGTGAACAAATACAACTAGAAGACTGCCATATGCTGGCTAATGTCAGAAAGATTCAGTTTTCTTTTTTCTTTTTTAAACAAAAGAGGAGAAATATATTAAAAGGTACCAAGGGAGTGCCACCTATACACAAAAATTTTTACAAGTCAATGAGCATATCTATAATTACTCACAAGTCGTCAAGAGTATCTGAGTTATGTCCTAAAAAGATAGAGCCAAAATAATGCATCCATCTATCTTTAATATTTATAAATGAGTCTTCCCTACCCTCAAATGCTCTATTGTTCATTTTCCTCCAAAGAATCCAAAAAATAGTTAATGGAATGAGACGTGCCACCGGAGACTTAGGAGATAAGCCTTCCCAAGCCAAGAGCTCTTTACTAATAGAGCCTACCATAATCCAGCTAATACACATTAGGCTGAAAACAAGATACCAAAGATTGACAGAGAAATGGCACCAAAGTAAGATGTGATTGCAGCTTTTGGCATCTCTCTTGCAAAGGAAACATCTGTTAACTAGTATCCTACCCTTTTCATCAAATTGTCAATAGTTAGGATATGTTCCTTTGCCGCCTCCCATGCAAAGAAAGCGATTCTAGGGGGAGCATTGGTTTTCCAGATTGATTTGAAAGGAAACACACCACATATTGCCCCTCAGAGCAGAAAGCATCACACACCATCAGATCTTTAATACGTGCAATGGCAAAAATATTGGGGAATCTGAGCTTAAGGGGAAGCTCACCACACCAAATGTCATGCCAAAAACTAATTTTGTTTCCTCTCCCGAGTTCCAACCTAGTATTGTCACGCATCACATCATACATTTTCATTATATTTTTTCATGCACTGATACCCTGGGGTCTGCTGGAAATACTTATATTGCTGTCGTTGCCGTTTTTCTTCCAATTGATTCGAATAATTTTCTTCCACAGGCTATCATCTTCACTTAAAAATCTTCATACTCATTTACCATGAAGAGCTTTGTTCATAATGGTGATGGATCTTATCCTCAGCCCTCCCAATCTCATGGGTCGTTTAACCTCCTCCAAGTTTACAAGGTGATACATTCTTTATTATCTGAGTACCCCCAGAGAAATCTGTTTTGTATTGACTCGATCTGTTTTGCAATCTGAACAGGAATGGTGAGCACATAAAGATTATAAACAGGGAGATTAGAAGACGTACTCTTAATTAGTGTCAACCTGCCCCCTTGAGAAAACCCCTCTTCCATCTAGAAAACCTTTTGTCAAAAAGATTAAAATTGGTTCCCCGCCTCTTTTGTCTTTAGATTTCAAACCCAGTGGGTATCCCAGATAGGTGATAGGGATAGTTTTGTCTGGCAGCCCATAACTTGAGCAAGAGAACCCACATCATTCCCCACTTCAAAGCCAACCATTTCAGATTTACAAGGTTAATCTTGAGCCCCAACACAGCCTGGAAACAGAGGAGAATACATCTTAAGTTTAAGAGAAAATGAGTGAATCATTCGCAAAAAAAAGGTGGGTGACTCCAACATGTTCATTCCCACTCCCTAAAGAGATGCCTTCAATAAAATGTAGGTCCTGAGCTTTCACTAATAATTTGCTGAGTGCTTCCATCACAATAATAAAAAGAAGAGGGGATAAGGGGTCCCCTTGTCTAATACCCCTAGAAGCATGGAAAAAAAGGGGCCTCCATTCACCAAAACTGCATAACTGATTGTAGAAATGCAGATGCTGATCCACTTTCTCCATTTGCACCCAAAACCAAAACGAAGTAGCATGTAATCAATGAAGCTCCAGCTAACATGATCAAAGGCTTTTTCCATGTCAAGTTTACACATAATTCCTTTCTTCTTTTGAGTAATTAGATCATCTACCAATTCATTGGCAATCATAAAAACATCGAAAATCTGCTTACCTTCGACAAATGCATGCTGGTTTTCCCCGATAATCAGATGGAGAACATTTGCCAATCTTCTAGAAAGCACTTTCGATATTAATTTGTACATGCTACTTACAAGATTGATGGGACAGAAATCTTTGAAGTCTTGAGCCCCTCTTTTTTGGGTATGAGAACAACGAAAGTAGAGTTCAGTGATTTATAAACAGCCCATCCTATGGACTCCATGAAAGTTGACCACATCATCTTTATCATGTCCAGAAGCTCACAAAATTTGAA